ATTCGCATCACATGTGGTACATGAGGTGGAACAAAAGTGTGTACTCAGTGACGCAGTTACACCCAAAATAGCAAAAAATATAAAGTAAAAAAGAAACAGTATAAACAGTGATTGAAAACTGGATTATTGAGCATGCATCAGGATAGTATGAACAGTAATACATGTGCAAAAACAATGTAATATAATATGGTGTATTAAACAGCAGGCTGAACATGAGTCTGTTGTGAGCGGACGGGTATGAATACAGCAGCTTAAAGACAAGAAATCAGCAGCATGGATAATCAGCAGCACAGATAAAGTGACATGTCAACTATAAAAGTGGCATTAGGTGATTTTTCTGGACACCTGCAAGTGTTCTTGGCTACGCCCACTTGTCCGCTTTGCACGAGAACAGCTGATCAGTTGCAGTAGGAAGTTTATCCTGCAGTGTGGGCTGCACAAAGGTGCAGCGGGTGCTAAATAGCTTTAAATAATTTATTTTAAATAAAAATGCCATGCCGATCATGCGGCTCATCCACCAATCAGCCAATTATGTGTCATGTCCAATCTTATTTTGAAAATCCACGATAGAGCGAGTCAACTATAAACGGACCATGAAGTAGTGAGGGACTACTGTATATATATATATATATATATATATATATATATATATATATATATATATAGAGAGAGAGAGAGAGAGGGATATATAGATAGAAAGATGTAGGTTAATGTGGATACATGTATATTCTTTGTACATAAAAATAACAAAAACCTTGTAAAAAATGACTCTTGCTTCCTACTTGAAGATCTCTTCAGACATCTTGAAGATGAAGATACTGTCTCGCAAAACAACAACATGCATGATGAGAAAGTTGCCTTCCTTCAAAGTCCAGGTTTAATATTTCACATCATCAGGAGTCATCTCAGGTTTCAGGGCATCTCCCAACACATCATTATGCTTTTAGCATGTGATTGCACAATATTTTTAATAAACAACTGTGATATCAAAGCATAACTGCTGGTCTATAATTCTGTGACGTCGCTTTCAACGAGTTGTGAAAATTATCTGATGGTTCTGCATGGCCAGTAATTGTGTGGTCATGGGAACAGAATTCATATACTTAAACAATGTGACTTCCCCCAGTGCCTTCTCATATCATCATTTTATTTATATGAAGACTTGATTCTAACTGATAGTTGCAGCTTGGGGATAGTTACATTACTTGTTCAGCAAAAAATGGAGGTTCAAAAATCACAACTTTCTTTTAAATGTTTATTTTGTGCAATATTGACACAATATTACTAGAACTGTAGACTTTTTGTGACATATTGTACCAGAACTAGAATATACAATAGTACGACTTGACTAATTTCAACACTTTTAGAAAACAGAAAATGACCTTCATGACCAGCACTGACTTAATGTTGCAGCATTTCATTCAGCTACATGGCACCTTCTTATCTGTCACACTGATAAAGATAGAGAATGCTATTTTAAGGTTTGTTGCATAGAAATGAAATATGAGGTAACTTTCACACCAAGTTTCCCCATTAAGACAGGCAACGCGCATACACTAAGAATTATTAAAAGAAACAGTGATTATGACAACAAAAAAGGGATAGTTCAAATTTATGGTGCTCTGTGGTATTATTAGTAATCAATATCTTACTTGGAGCAGACAGAGGTCAGAGCATCATTATGTTAAAATTTTACTCAGAAACGTTCTTGACAGAGACAAGCTAACAGCTAGTTCGAAGGAAGGCCCATTTCAAAGCAGACTCCTACCATCTAAAAAATAATATCGGTTCACGCAAAAGCTATCGGTATTTATAAACCTTTACGATGCTGCTACTTTTACATTAGGCAGCTTTTATTTAAGAGTTTTTTTGGCTGTTTGCACTGAAAAGTGAATCAGTCTGCAGTCCATTGGTATCAGTGGTACAAAAAAAAGCAATGAGGTGAATAAAACAGCAGTTCAAGTGAAACAATTTAATTTTTTTTTTGTCAGCTATCATGAAAAATGTGATTTGGGGGGAATTTCAGATGCTATTTTAAATATAAATAATATAGCCTGTAGCAGTTTAATTTCCAACTCTACCAGCACATTAGCAGAGGCTTCAGATTATTTGTCTTTTCTGATGGGTGGATAATAACCCAAAACTATATGTGACAGCAGCTAAAGTGATGACGATAGAACAGTTCACACTTCCTTCTCTGTTTAAACAAGACACTTCCTGTTTCAGCTGCTTCCATAGTGACACTACAGAAACAATTAACAGGCAAGTTCACAGTATATGAGAAAAACAAACAAAACAAAACATGATGTATCTTGTTCCCTTTTAATGTTAATTTATGTGAACTGTTCCCCTAATAAATGTGTTACATTAATAATGCATGTACTGCCTTCTCAGCAGGTGGCACAGTTGGTAGAGCTGTTGCCTGTCAGAGAGTAGGTTGGCGGTTCAAATCCCGAGCCAGGACATTTCTGGGTGGAGTTTGTATGTTCTCTCTGTGCATGTGTGAATTTTCACCGGATACTCTGGTTTCCTCCTACAGATCCAAAACATGGTCTGATTGGTAACACTAAATTGTCCCTAGGTGTGAGTGAGAGAGCGAATGGTTGTTTGTCTCGTTTGTCACTGTGATGACACCTGTCCAGGGTGTCCCCCGCCTCTTGCACAGTGATGGCTGGACATGGGCACCAGTGATCCCAACAACCCAAAAAAGGAAGAAGCGGAAAAAGATAATGGAAGGATAGCTTCTCAGTTAGGATGAGTACATTCTCAATAAAGTTAAGAATGATGAAAATGTATCAAGATAAAACATATTAAAATTTGTACTGAGGATTCTCTGAAATTCTAACATGATTAAATAAATCTAAAAAAAAAAATAGGAAAAAATAAAACTGTAAAAAAATGTCAGTGACACTCACAGCATATGGCAATCTAACTTTTATTTTACTTTCAGAACAATTTCTCTCCCAGATTTAGGCTATTTCTTTATGAAATGTCAACTCAAGCTCCAAAAATGATTTCCTTTTTTAAACAATTTTACCGTCACTGAGGATGATAAATGATTTCTGAAACACCCGAGTCTGAGAGAGAAATAAGACTAGCTCGGTCAACACTCCAACACGGTGAAATGCACAAAAACTCTTAATAACTGTCAGTCTGCTATGGTTCACTCTGGTCAAACTCTTCTTATTGGGAGCTTGTTTGAATATAATAATACTTTGAGTCACATTTTTGACTAAAGTGTGAAACAGTTTTGAAAGATGGAGAGGAAAAAAAAAAGACAAAACAAATAAAACCTAATTGGAGACAAACACGATTGAGAGATGGTTTGAAACAAACACCAGCAAAAAGAATGCTTCATGTTTAATGTCTGGTTATTTCTGCTGATTGATGCTTCATGCCATACAACTACGTGAAAAACACCGTGAACAGTTGTATCCCACATGACTGAAACCTAAATGAGACACTAGGCCTCTGAGTCAGCTAAAACATGGAGGAAAAAAAAAAAATCCATGATGCTTAGACAGTGAGAACACACACATCCACACTCAGTAGACGTCCCTGTGGTTTGGAAGTCCTTGTGGTAATGGCCAACCAATGGCACATCCTCAGCATTCTTCTTCAACAACGTGCTTTTTCCCCTTTCAACTATTAAACTCGTTGGAATTTGAGAGAGATTTTGAGATGCCTACACAAGTGCATCTAAAAAAAAAAAAGAATATTGTGAAAAAGTTCAATTATTTTTTCCAATGTATTTACGTATTTTTACAGAGTGAAATATTTCAAGCTTTTCTTTCTTGTAATTTTGATGATTATGGTTTACAATGACAAACTAAATTCAGTGTCTCAGAAAATTAGAACATTACATAACCAGCTGTGTATGTACAGAACAGAACAAAGTACTTTATTTTATTTTTATGTGAACACACGGGCAAATTATTTTTGATCTGCTTCCTGTTAAGTAAACTCAAGGAAACCGCAGAATCTTGGTATTGATGCATCTGCTTGGCTGGTCTCCAAGGAGATGAGAGAGACCTGTATGGACTGTGCTCTTGTTGTGTACATTTGGTGAACGTCTGCCTCAGTGACTCGAGCTGAATGAGCTATCCCTGCGTCATGGGAGTCTGACTGGACTTCTTCAAAAGACGGGACTTTGCAACAACAACAGGGCCACTATTATTGGGTGCTGCAACACCAGAAAGAACATTTTCCACAGAGTCACAGCACACTGTACAACGACAAAAAATGTTTCTGCAAAATCTCCGTTTGCTTGGCAATAAGCTTCAGTAATCTCATAGGTGTAATGTTTGCATTGGTTATTGGGTTAAAGCATATTTTTTTGAAAAAAAAACAAACCAAGATATTAAGCTGAGCAACGAATAAAACACTCCAAAGAAACCAAATTAAATGACGCACAATGAAGGAAGTAAGTCAAAATATGGCAAATGAATTGTCTAGAGAAGAGGGAAAATTTGCTAGTGGTAACAGGGGAGAATAAAAGGGAGGACCAGAGGAAATCCTGTCAACAATGGTTGAACAAACTCAAACTAGAGATAATGTGGCTGTGAGCAAACCTCTTGCCAACACTGGTGATCTTTTCACACAGAAGAAAAATACTACAGTAAGCATTTTATGTGTGAGAGAATTGGAAGAAAAAACAACTTAGTAAAAAAAAAAAGTATCATGACAGATTTCTTTAATGAAAAAGGAGATTTTTTTTAAACAGATGCAAGTTTTGTCATTCAAAAGGCAACTGAGATGTGTTTTTTTTTTTTATCAAAACTTGTTTAATTTTATAGGTCTAATAAAAACATTGCATATATAACTGTTGCGAAACTTTTTATGGGGTAGTCTGGTCATTTCTGAAGTGACGTTCCATCAAATAATTGTCAATAAGTAGTTTACAATATCAGTCGTGACATCAGTCATCGATGACAAT